ACCAGAATTTCAATTGATTTATGATATATATATATTATTTTATATGTAATAAAAGATAAAAATTAAATTATTTATATCGTTTACAGTCAAAGCAATTTAATGAGACTCTTTACCAGCTCATGATTGACGACAAGACGAAGAGATTATTGAATAACGTGAGTATTATTAGCGTTAATCCATTTATTTCACAACAAAAAATATATCACCTAGACATCATATGATAATAATAATGATTGTTTTCCTTTGAAAGCAAAAGTTACGGCTTCACATTTCGATGAAGAGGGAGGTGGTTTTCTCTGCCGGAGGCTTCTTCAACATGGACTATACCTTGGTTCACTCGGTGAGAATCCATAATTTTAATAAATAATGTTTTAAATTTTTTTTTTTGTTTCTTCCCTACCTCGCCTTTTAGGCTATACGGGATGTTTCCGGGCCGGGGGGTGAGGGCGGGGAATTTAAAATCCCCTCCGGCACCGGGACGCGAACTCGTACTTTTCAATCTTCTCAAATCTATAATCCGGTTGCCAGGCAACTCGCGGTGCGGTGCACACGCTTTAACCTATTCGGCCACCCCGCTCCCATAAATATTTTAAGTGTTGTTAGAGGCGGGGTAGCTGAGCGGGCTAACGTGTAAACCTGATAAATGAAGTTGGTGACAATAAAATTACGAGTTCGCGTCTCGGTGCCCAGGGGGTCTTTTAATTCTGTCATTAATCCCCCGCCCTCACCCCCTGGCCATCGATCCCGTCAGATACTTCCAACAAGTGAAGCCTAACAGTTTAATAAACTTTTTTAGATCTTAATAACAGCGCTTGCATTAACTCTAGAGTGGTAGCGCACTTTTGAAAAAATTAACCGATTTATTTCCATTAAATGTAAATAAAGATATTTCAAACAAAAAAGCTGGCTATATTGTGGAAGCAGGTTATATTGAAAATAAAAACAAAATCATATTTTTACACAGACATTGCAGACAAAATGCCCATGATTCCCACAGGTAAACTTTTTTTACTTCGAGCAGCGAGTTCTCGTCTTCTTATTCAATTTTCTAGGACAAATTTCGCATCTTTGCTTTTTTTTTTTTGCTTCTTCTTCAGTTTCCGAAGGATTTTCAGGTTGTTCCTCATATAACCCAAGGTATTTGAAGGTATTTGGTAAGGTAATTCTAGAAGGAAATTCTCTGGGAAGAAGAGAAGAAGGAACATGTTTGCAATTTGTTGACTTTCCAAGTCACTTGGAAGCCACAAATAATTAATAACAATATTTAGTATTATTGAACCAAAAACTTAAATCTGTTCTTGAAAGAAAAATACAATACTAGGGAAACAAAAAATAATTACTTAGAAATTTATATATATATATATATAGACTCAAAAGACAAGATCTCAACCGACGATATGGCCAGCTATATAGACTAATGAACAGAAAATCTCAACTTTCAATTGACAACAAACTACTGATCTACAAGACAATACTGAAACCTATTTGGACCTACGGACTTGAACTGTGGGGGACAGCAAAAGTTTCTAACATCAAACGTATTCAATCCTTTCAATCTAAAGTCCTTCGAACAATAGTTGATGCTCCGTTCTATGTAACTAACCAAACCCTACATCATGACCTTAATATCCCATTTGCCCTAGACCTTATCCCTCAAAAATTTTTGAAATTCCACCAATAGATGTAGTCTCCTCTACATTGGAGCGCGGAATGTACTGCACGGGAGTCTTTCTCGACGTTGAACAGGCGTTTGATAGAGTCTGGCACCCGGGACTGATGTACAAACTCCGTAAATTCCTACCACCTACATACTTCCTCATTATCCGTTCCTACCTTACTGACAGATTCTTCAAAGTAAATCATAACAATACTTTTTCATCTCTTTTTTCACAGTTTCTTTTTCCTATCCTTTATTCAGTTTATACAGCTGACATCCAAACCCATTCCAACACTGTCATCACCACATATGAAGATGACACATGTATCCTATCAGTCAATAACGATCCATCTATAGCTATCCCTACACCCCTCTTCGAAGGTTGAAGCGGCAGTGGCCCAGAGACTTGTAAGAATATATAGGAGTTCTGGCAATGGCTTGATTCTCCACTCAAGCCATGTACGTCTGGTTTATTTATTTTGTTAGATTGATTTATTTTTATTTAGTTTACTATCTTTTAGTTTATATACAATTTACTTTAGTATTATTATATTGCCGTTTATTATTTTTATTTATTGTGCATAGTATGAATGAGCTAATCTATATCACTATTACTATTGTCCTTGAATGTGACAGATTGTAATGTATCTCAATAAAGAAGTTTAAAAAAAAGAAATTTATATAGTCAAATCAGGTCAGGCGTGGTAAAATGGGCCCCAAGAACTCAATATTTCAAAACCTGCACGAATCAATTAGAGGGAATACTGATATATTTGCCGAGGATAGGAAGGTACCAGGAGTGGAGGAAGTACATGTTCAAACAGGAATATTTGACAGAGCAAAACATATGTTCTGGACCCTGCGCGACCACTCTATGGTTAAGCACAGCCTAAGTTTTATTGGTGAAACTGTAAATACCATTCATGTAATAAAAAAATCACATTCGGATCAGATTGGTTGTCTTTAAAGGGGCGTAGTAACCAGCGTAGCCTCTCCAAGACGCAGGGAAACGATTAGCAACTTATTTTAGAAGTTTTGTCGGACATAATATATAATATATAGCAATATAAGCTTTAAGGACATCTTCGAAGAGATATTTTTTATGTTCTTACAGGAAGAAGGACGCCCTTTCTATTTATTACCATTAAATACTAAATATTATTTTTTTTTAGAGGCATCTCCAAACATTTTGGCCCACTGTTTACATTAAGTCCTTAACTAAGACCCCGGGCAGCATTGTGACCTCCAGCACAGTCCAGCGGACCTTGGATTGTGATTAAAAAATAAATCTTATTCAATAATTGACACTTTAGTAGTGCTATAAACTTTCTAAGAGAAAAAAAAATATGCAACTACTTTCCAAATATAAAATAAATATTTTAGACCAAAAATTTGTGTGAAAAATAGTATTCATCTGAAGGAGATAGTTTGATATTACCTAGGTGACAGCTGTTAGTTTTAGATCTAGACATTTTCTTATTGAATACAATATATTAATTCTTGTACTATATATAATATTATTTATGATATCTTAATAATATATTGAGGAAATAGAAAAAGGAAGCACAATATAACGTACAATGAATATATTAGAAATAAAAGTTTCACATTGATGTTAGGCTTATACGAAGCTGGATAAGTTGAATATTTATTATGGTTACGAATTGGCAATAAGAATAATTATAATTTTATATTAATATAAATGGACAATAAGATTTGATGTATAATATACATTTTTAAAGTAATAAAAAAAGTTGTCGTTTGTAAATTACAGGTGATCGCTGCAGCTACTACTTACGTGGCCATCTTGATTCAATTCCAGAAGACTCCGGAAGTGGTTTCAAAAAGCACCATCGATCCCAACATCACCACCATAGCTTCTTAAATCTGGCTGATTATGTTTCACCAAAAGAAAGTACATAATTTTATAAAATAATTAATTTTTGTAATAGTGTAAAAAATATATACACTAGATGATAAATGATTGTACCAGGAAATAATGAATAAATGAATTATCTTTTTTTTATTTGTATTCGCCTCTACCCTAGAGGATCATTGGCGGTTTTTCTTAATTTTTATATTGTACTATAGTGATTTATTTTCAATAAATATTCAAAGAGAGTGACGACATTTTCCTCATTGTCTCCCAAAATATCTTTCAATGTTGTCGAAAGCTTTAGTTTTTGTCTCTCTTTTTTATATTGGGGGCACTCTAATAGTAAATGCTTGACTGTTTGAGGTGTATTGTCACAGTTTTCGCAGGTTGGCGCTTCGAGTCCCCTAAGTAGGTATCCGTGTGTGAAAAGGCAGTGTCCGATTCGCATCCGGCACAATATTATTTCTTCTCTTCTCGGCCTTCTGAAGCTTGTGGTCCATGTGTTGCACTCGGTTTTTATTTCGGCTAGTTTGGCTCGTTGTATTTTCCATTGACCTTCCCAATTTTTTAATAGCTTTTTTCTTGCTTCATGAATCCAATTTTTTTTTTTTTTTTTTTTTTTGGAATTCGATATCCAATAAAGGGCCTTTATTATTCTAATCGCTTCTCCACTGAATATGGAGCACTATCTTGGTAAGTTGAATAGTAGCTGGTTTGCGGTTGCATAGACAGCGCAACCAGCGCTATTTTCTACTTTAGAGGCGTCGGCATAAATGACGTTATAACCGTTATAACTTTCTAGTAATCGGAAGAAATAAGTTCCTGTATTTCTAGTGGGTGATCTTTGGAATATCGAGTCATCGATATGTCTACAGACGGTCTGAATTTCTTCCAGTAAGAAAATTTGAGATCAGGAATGGGTCTTACTGTGTTCAGATCCATGTTTGTATCACATAATGTTTGATAGACTGTTAATTTAAATTTGTTTCCCTCTATGTCTTTGAGTCCACGCTTTTCGGATTCCTCAACAAACAGTTTTGGTGCTAATGGATGCTGTGGACGTGCTTTCAATTTCAATTGAATTATCTTTATTGCTCTATTCATTCTATGGATATAAATTAGTTTCACTTAGCTCTATATTTTTTAACATTTAGGATTATATTTATAATATAACCATCAAAGAAGAATATATAAATATAATATTATCTAATTATCTTTCGAGCTGGCTTGGTTGATATACCGCGGAATATGCGATAATAATATACGTTTCATTTATTATTAAAATAATATTAAATAAGAAGGTTTTGTTAATTTAAAAAAAAAAATTTTACTGAATGTGGGGTGATAAATGAAAGTTGTGTCATTTATAATTACCAGTTTTCTTTTTCCCTTTTATAACCTACTATCTAACTTTAAAAACACGTATTATGCATTTTCTTTTTGGACAAATATAAGCTAAAGCTACATCTAAGATGGTGTGGGCTGTGCGAACTGGATCAGTATCACCAGGTAAGTAGTCACAGCTGCACCGATCTGAAATAGAAAAAAAAACATCAATTGAAAAACTGAACTTTCTATAACACATGTTAATTATTCACATTCAAATTTTATCATAATGAAGGAGAATTTTAAAAGTACAAGAAAAATATTCTCGTTTTATTCCCTGTTAACGATACTTGACTACCTAGGATTTTACGACCTTGTCCTACGAACTACATAAATATATATATTTTAAAATAATTATCTAATTGGGAATAAGGTCACTTAATTTTATGTTACTTTAACTTCTGTAGAGCTTCTCTTGGTCATAAGTTAATTTGTAATACAACTCTCGATCAAATTTGTCAAAAAGTTCTACAAGAATGCTTTTTTATAGTTTATATTTGATACATTTCAAAGTCGAACAAATTTCTTTTATTTCTAAGTTTAAAATTGAACTCTGTCTTCTCAATATAATATTCTCTAGCGGTTTTATGAACTTTGAGCTGTCAGGAATAAGCTGATAAATGTTCTTAGTGCTATCTACAATGTGTGGTGGAAACTTATTCTATTTTCTACATGTTAGAAGAAATACCCTCTGCGGTTCCAAATGTAACAACTTTTTTATATTTCTCGAATACTTTTTCGCTGTTTTGCTAGTATTATTCCCGTTTTTATATTTTATCTTCTGAAAGATGCCCATGACTTTATATCAACTAAAAACTTTTAAATAGTAACATGAAAACAAAAATTGAAACCAACAAATAAGTCAGTCGTAATTCCAGCAAACAATAATTTGCTAGATTTCTTCCTTAATTCTATATTTTTATTAGTTTATGATTAGATAAACTTGGTAATTATAGAATTAATTAAGTGACCTTATTCCCAATTCTATAATTATTTTAAAATATAATACTCAAAGGTCGATAAAAGAAATTTTGTAAAAATATATATGATTTTTAAAACATGTCAACTTACCGAATGAACTAGAGTGTAATCTATGTTAAAGAAACCATAAGCCGTAAACGTTATTTCTCTTTTCATCAAAACGTGGAGGCGTATTTTCTTCTATAAAAGACAAGTAATATTAATAATAAAAGGAAAAATGATTAATTTGTAACATATATGTTTTTTGTCTTTAACAGATGTATTTGCGCTTGTCAACTTATTGTTGACAATCAGCAAATGTGATGGCGATGCATGAAATAATGACATGACAGGCATGGGGAAGGAAAGTACTCAGCAGTGCCTCTCCCCTAAGTTGTTCCAATTACTTAGGTTGTTTAAGGAAGGAGATCTCTCATCCAACGCCTTTTTAGTCTCCTCCTCATGTCAGCTGTGGCCATGTCTCTTATTATGTCCATTTAAATTTGTGTAGAATCGTAGATAAATGGTCGTTATGTTGGTCAACTGTTGGAAAGTGGAGGTGAGTATGTAGAGTTTTGTTAGTTACGTACGAAGGTGCTTTTGTTATGGGTCGCAATAATTTTGATTGGAACGTTTGAAGTTTTTGTAGGTGAGTCTTTTTAGCGATGCCGTATATTTGTACTTCCATATGGGCTTCAGTATGTATGTATATGTTAAAATATATATTTGTAAAAGATTATATTTGTAAAATATAAAATAAATATCTATGATTATTTTAATTGGTACAGCGCATAATATAACTATACATGAATCGCGTTGTCGTCGGTGTTAAGGTAGGTTTAAACACTTCATGAACTATGGGAAACACAAATGTCTTAATAGATTGTTTTTCTTGACTAGTTGTGTTGTTTCCAGTTCGGTCCCATTCAAACTGTTCAGTTTTTCAGGAGATTTGAAAGTGAGTTAAGTTAATTGCTCAGTAACCTTGTCATGAAAAGGGTGGTGTAAATTGCATCAAATGGGGTTAGAAGGTTTATTTTTTTTTTTTGTATGGGATGTGACTGAAAAGCAAAATCCAAGTCTTTGTACCTGGCACTCCTCCGGATCAGTTTTGAAAATATACAAAACTGCTATTTTTTCGCTCATTTTTTTTTCCCGTTTCGACCACGATAGAGGACATTTTCGACAATAGAATTCTATACATGTTTAATGTAGATTAAATATGCTACAATTCGGTAAGTTCAACCACTTTTGAGATAAAGGTTTTCTCAATTTTGAAAAATTGTCGAATTTGAAAATTTTAAGCTATTTTTTATGTTTGATTATATGCAAACGTCTTTTTATCTTCAACAACTTGTTTCCTAATATTCAGTGAAGTAAATTTTTATTCATCTTAACATATTGAAGGAGGGATGACAGAGGGGGAGGGAGGAGGTTTATGAATAGGAGAGATCACTTTCTACAACCAGAAGACTGAAATCGAAACAAAATATTATTTAACAAACATTTACATCAAGTGCCTACGAAAATTGTAAATGAAGCGAATGCAGGTTTCGAAACTTGAAAATGTTTATGAAAACAAGAATTAGTGAAGTAAACATTTATTTAATTTATTATTTTGAAGAAGCAGGATACAAGGATATAGGAATGGCTATAAATAATAATAAATAAAAACCGTATGTTTATGTTGATTAATGTGAATCTAATATTATTGGACTGTCCGAAAAACAATGCAGAATTTTAATTTTTCTTTAAAATAGACCTATATATAACAAACTGTTTAAATTCACTGGATTATTCATCTATATGAATGCCAACACTTATTAATCCTCTTCTAAATAATAATATTTACCTCTGTAGCATTTTGCTGATTAAAAATAAATCTAATTAATTGGATAATTAATTATATAATCTAAGGCAATGTTTTATTAAAAATAGGATGTTATAAAAAATAATTATTCCTTATCTGTATGGGCTATGTTTATTTGATAATTCTGCTAAAAAGCTGATTATTTACTTCAAATAGGAAGTCAAAAAGGAAGGCAAAAATAAATTATAATATTTATTCATTACAAATGCCGACGTTTCGACCTGAAGTTCAGGCCTTCATCAGGGCTAAGAAAATAACCAGATAACAAGGTATGAGAAAAATAAAATAAAAAAAAATTATTAGAAAAATAAAATAGATAGATATAAAGTAAAATGAAATTGTTAGAATAATGACTAAGAACTAAGAGATAAATAATAAAAACTGTTACATGGTTTGGAATGATGAAGTAGGCATAATCAAAAAGGGGTGACAAAAGTGTTACATTGGGAATCTTAGAATAAAATGTGAAAACATAAAAAAGAAATATAAAGTTATATAAGAAATGAAAAGAAAATAAATAGTAAAATTAAAACATTGAGAATGGAGAACATTTTATTTCAAGTTTTCATAATCAAAATTATTTGTATTTTTGGACTTTTCATAACTCTTTTGACTTTTTTAATGAATAAATCATTTTTTCATTAATAAAAATCATGTGAAATATCCGTAGCTAAGACCAGAGAATAAGTATGTGAGAAAACATTCTTATTTTCATAAAACCTTCTCAGGTACATGAAGAACCGCGACCATTAGATTACCGAAGTATTAATATCGACCATGAAGAAATAGGCTTCTAATTCTAATAAAATTTACTACTCAAAGAAAAAATTGGCCGGAAAGAAATTTACAAAGTGAAAGAGTTTACAGCTTAGCTTACAGCAATCTCTTGGCCTCATTTAACAAAACATAAATTCAAGAAGTGTTTGAATATGTTTGTTACAATGTCTGTTCAGTAAATATTCAAGACCTAATTATTTCAAAAATTATGATTTTCCATCTTTTTTTGCTATTAATATGAATTTATTGTTTTCATGTGCTCTTAAATATAATATTGTCGGATTAAATTGGTATACAGTCATTTTCCTTTGTCGTTGTTAAGATATGTAAAAATAAGATCATGTACATATGTTTATTAGTTTAAGTAAAAAGAATAACAGATGTTGAGGTTGTATAAATCTGAATGTTTGCTAATTAATAAAAACATTTAACCATCTTCTAGTGATCATTATTTAAATTAAGAAACATAACAGTCGTTTCTTATGTAAATAATCAGCCTATACAATATTGTGATGTAATATCGTTAAAAAATCGTATTTCCTGCCGTTTCTACTGATGCACTGTACCAATTTTACCAAAATCAATCGGTTAAGATCAGGACAAATTAATTTTTTTTTTTTAGTAAAATACTCTGGATTCTAGATTTATAATTCTGCCATGTTTTGTAAGAATTCAGCAAGGCTGATCTTATATGTTAATAATTTTTTCAGCATTTTAAAATTAACCAATATTCCAACTCATCTTTTTTTCTAAGTACAATGAAAGGCCGCAATAGCGTATAATGTAGATCGTGTCAGTAATATATATATATATATATATATATATATATTCTTTCAGCTAAAACTGAAAATATTCACATAAACCTTAATATATCTAATATCAATTACTTACGTTCTTAGACATTACAGATGTTTTGTCAGTAACCATAAGCTGGTACAGCAAAGTGTTGAATTCTTTGCCCTGAAACAGAAGATATGCGATCATTAGTCTGTTAATAATAAAATATCATGTTATAGTAAGTTTAAAAAATATAAACTATATACAATGACAGATCTAAGTGAGCAGAAGGAACAGGTCTTAACCATAAAAGTCTAATTTTCACACAAGAATTTTATATTGTTAATTTAAATGAGTCCGTAGTTAATATTAATCCAATCTAGCATTAACCCTCCGCCCTCTCCCGAGGCGAGAGAAAACCCCGTATTGGGTAAAAAGCTAGGTAGGGAAGAACAGAAAAGAAATCGCTTAAAAGTTCATCTAAGAAAACCCAGGTTGCATTTAATGTCAATTTTATCTAGTTTGCTGTGAAACAATTTTTAATTGCCTGAATTTAATATTTTTTTTAGTTATTGCTTCCTATTTAACAAAAACACAAGTTAATTTAAAAAAAACAAAATTTTAATTTTCTACTTTTATACGGAAAATCGGTCCATTTTTTATATAAACTTTTGTGTTGACCTGATTATCCCTTTAAATATTTGGACACCCTATATGTATATATATATATATATATATATATATATATATATATATATATATATATATATATATATTACATTTTGAAACATTGCTAATAAAATATACCGAACCTTGACAACTGTTCTTTCACAAGAACTCGTAATCGAGTAGGTGAGAGAGGATACGTAAGTCAGGCACAGCAATAAGACGATGACCTGTCCGAAGTTGACGCCTATTTGGTCGGAGGACTTGAGGTAGATGATGTGGTACAGTTCATCGACTAGGACGGTGAAGATGTTGATGAACACCACCAGCAGCTGAAGACCGTACACTGTGTTCACTCGACCTACCTGAAACATAAATTATATTTGTTTATATTTAGTTGAACCACTGGAGGATCAAGGAATGGTCTGAGAAGGAGGGGGGGTGTGCTTTTGAAACAGGTTAATTCCATTCCAAATTTTATAGCAGAAAAGTAGAAAATCCAAGTTTTTTGTTTTTTAAGCTAGTTATGTTTCAAAACTAAAATATACTTTAATCGCTTATTAATTAAAATAGTTTTAATTAAGATTGCTTCCTCAATTCGACCACTGTCGGCAGGAGTACATCAGGGATCAATATTGGCTCCTTTTGTCTACATTTTCTATACGCATGGCAGCCTACCACCTCTGAAACATACTCTACTTACGCCGACGATACAATAAATTTAACAAAAAATCCAGAACCCCAGACTAGTCTCACTAAATTTACAAAATCCCTTACTAAATTTACAAAATTGGTATTCACTTTGGAAAATTAGATTAAATCATGACAAGTCCCAACATTATAACATTTACACTTCGACGTGAAACGTTCCCACCAGTTTATATCGGCGACAACCAAATCCCTCAGACGGAAACTGTACGTATCTCGAGCTAATATTCGACAGAAGGATGACCTGGGGTCCAAATGTTCAAAAGAAAGATTTTGAACAAGAGACTGAAAACACTGTACTCACATTTTTCCAAATCAATATTGAAAATCAGACAAAAATCATTACATACACTTATCTACTCAAATCTGTATGGACATATGCCTCACAAATTTACATTTTTACAAAAAAGGCTCACTTACAAAAACTAAAGATATTTCAATCCAAAATTTTACGACTTATAATAGGAGCTCCTTGGTACGTAAACAACAAAACTTTACATAACGACTTACGATAACCAACTTGTAACCAAGATTAAGGAAGCATTGAAAAAAAAAACTCTTCTCTCTTTTGTTTCCTGTGATTAATTATTAATTCATATTTTAGCGTGTGCATGTGCTCTGATATCTTTTACCAGGAATATCGTTTCTTTTATGTTTGAATGTGGCATGCCATACTATTGTACATAGAATGAGTATCTTTTTACTTTCACTTACGTATATATATATGTAATATACAATAAGTGTAAGTATTGCGATCGAGAAAATTTTTGAATCTGAGTTTTCAACGGAAATAGACGTTTTGAGGTACCCTGAGTCGAAATGACCAAGTCCCGAAAAATGGTCTGTGTGTTTGTATGTTAGCAGTATAGCTCAAATACGAAAAGTCCTACGAAACTGATATTACGTATTAAGGATAGGTATATGCCTTAGATGTGACGGCAACGTTTTCCTTAAAATCGGCTAACCGGAAGTGCCACTTTATATCAACGCTGAAACACATTTTCACAATTTTCTCAAAAACGGCTCTAACGATTTTGAATAAACTCGGTGTATCATTGTAGAATTAGGTGGTCTTTAATATCATTTAGGTCTTATCCCCATTGATATCACTTAACAGGGCTTAAATGCCCAATGTTCATATACATCTTCCTCTAAAGTACCTTAAATATGGTTTATTTTAAAAAGTTAATCATTTCACATTATTCAAAGTAATGAAAAAATGCTAAATATAACTTTTGAAAGAATTTGATAAGTTAATAGAGGAGAAAAAAAAAAGCCGAAAAACCTACGTTGCTAAAGACTGTAGCGCCTAAACGGATGTACCGATTGCAATGAAACTTCACTAAAGTCATTTTCTTCACTCTTTAAATTTATCTATATAACATACTTCAACGAAAAGAAGCTGGAAAAAAAGTTACGAGGGATGGTAAAATTAAATTCCGAATAACTCAAAAAGTATACACTTTTTTGGTGATATTGTGATAAGATGTTTCAAAGGTATTTAAATTGCCTAAAAAACAAAAGAAGTTTCATCGAAATCGAAGCACTATTACTAGAGATATCGCGATTTTTAAATTTTTTTTTTTTATTATCTTCCAATTTATCTTTAATTGTATATAGTAATTATGTTTAAATTCTCTCTTTATACTTTTATTTATTTATTTGTTAGTATTAATTCTTCTTGTTTGCCTTAACCTTCTGTATTAATTCTATAAATGTTTTCTTCTGTAAATAGATCTGTAAACTTTTTTTGCTGCTTTATAAAAATATCCAACCTAACCCCTTCTCACCTAAGCAAGCAGGGCAGGATAAAAGATTTAATCATGGCCAAATGGTAAGTACCTTATATTCTCTATATTTATCTCTTTAGAGATGAAAGTTAGTAAAGCCAGGTGCCCAACGAGTAAAAACCTCGATAGAAAATTATATTTACTAAAACTTATTTTATTATATTTTTATTTATCCTTTTATTTTGGTCATAAACTATAGACTAACTCATAAGTGATCTCTACTATAGATTTCATCTTAAACTACACGGACATATTAACGACATAGCCACAGCTGAGATGCCTATCAGGAGACGACTCAAGAGGAGCTGGATGAGAGATCTCCTTTCCCGAATTAAGGAAATAAATCAAGACCAGGAAGAAGTGCTACTGGGTACTATTTTTTTCCTCATGCTTAAAATGTCAATTTTTCTTATTAGTTACAGCACATCCGCTTATTGCCAAACTCATGACAGGTGTGGATGGAAATATGACGACAAAAAGAATTTCTGTTTATAATGGCTCAATCAATGGATCAGAAGGAGCATTAACCCATATATGACATTAAAAGTATAGCACGTAAAGTATGTGGTACTTAAACCATACGGTGGAATGAAATTAGTGATTTTGGATTTACTTTATTTTCGTATCAATGTATTCAATTTAATAAACATACCTGTGAGCAAAGTTCGTTGTATGCTTTACAACAATATTCAACCGAGGCGTCATGGAGCTTCCCATCTTTACAACCCTTTGACTTTATAGTTCCGAGGCAACTGTTGAGATATGCAAGATTGACTTGGATTGAATATATAAACAGACAAATAGTGAAAACATCCGTATTCATAACAATAGGCAGATAAAACGATTGGAACATTCTTGCTAAATTTACCAATTTAAACCTAATTCCGAATAAAGCAATAGCTATGTATACAAACATTATCAAGATATTGAACAAAAAACAGTACATCGATGGACCATCGAACACTAACTGCTTAGAATCGATATTTAAAAACATTTCTTCCAATGACTTCAATGACTTCATGATGTGACGAATATGTTCAATATTGACAACCTGAGAGAACAAGTTAACGATTCTCGAAGCGAAGAAGAGTGAGTATTCGAAAAGCAGGAGGGATTGAAGTAAGTACGAATCTCCATACACAACCTCATTTTTCGTAAAGGTGAGGTACAGTGCCAGAGATGCGACTAGTGAAATGAAGAAGTTGAAGGCCAACAGACTCGAAGAGACAGACCACTGACCGTCGACTTCGTCGATGACGGAACTTCCCAAGAATTTGGTGTAGGAAAGGATGAGCTTTACAAGTTCCGATAACCTGTACCTCTGCCGGAAGAAGGTTACAACGAGGTAACCCATACTTCGTGTACTGCAGATCCTCAATAAGCAATAATGGCTTCTAGCAAGTAACAATGTACATCATTAGTCTCTGAATGTGTCAATATATCGATTGTATAATGGTCTCCGTATTAGAGAGAAGTGAGAAAAAGCAATTTGTAGCATTAATTTGTGTAATCAATAGCAATGACTCAGAATTAAATGTCAAAATTCTATTTATTGTCCACTTTTGATTGTTGAAGGGAAGATTGATTGGTTTGTTCCATAAAAAAGTAAAAATAAATAAATTATATTTGTTTTATTTATTATTTATTTATTTTTACTTTTAATCAACGTTAGTTTCTCTCTTAGGAAAACCTTATGTCCACCCATAACGATTACCAATAATCCAGTGCCTTCAAAGAACTATGTACGGTACCTTGGACTCTACTTAGACAAAAGACTTACTTGGAACATACATACGAAATTAAAAAGACAAGAACTTACTAGACGATATAGCCAACTTTCACTGGACTACAGATCTTCACTTAACTTACGAAACAAGCGACTGATCTACAACACCTTACTAAGACCAATATGGACATATGGAGCAGAACTTTGGGGTTCAGCAAAACAAACACACATAAACAAAATAAAAACAGCACAATCAAAAATTTTACGAAAAATTGTTAACGCACCTTGGTACATTTCAAACACTACTATGCATAACGACTTAAACACCCCAACAGTAAAATCTTACATCCACGACAAATACACTACATTTCATTCTTCAACCAAAAATCACTCCAATCCTCTGGTTCTTTCTATCTTCTGCTCCCTGTTACCTGAACAACGCAGATTAAGATGAAAATGGCCAAGAGACCTACTATATCAATAAAAACCAAACCAATCAAATACACCAAGACAATACAAACACAACACATTTCCTAAATGATCAGCCGCGCAGGTACAAATTGCATAAAATATAAATAAATAAAATAAAATACTTTTTACTGAACTAACCTTTACCTGAAATATCTTCTCTTCAATTATTCACTACGGTCAACCATCAATCCACGGTTATTTTTCATAACTTGACGAGTATTTATTAAAAATAAGTTGTGAACCAGGAAAGGTGCATATTGCTTTATGTTTTCCTTTAGGTTAAAAGTTCCTTGATTGCGACGGAAAAGGATAAAAAACGTATTAAATAATTTGTTATAGTCAAAAATCAGCACATTTATATCAAAATATTTAAAGAATATTTCCGTAAACAGGACAAAAGTAAATAACATCTCTAAATAAAATTAACTAAAAATCTTCTTGACTCTCGGTCTTTCGGTCATTCAACACAAATGTTTGAACCATTTCAGCTGTATTTTCAATAGTATTTAATTCTCTATTTAATATATAGTAAGGGTAAGTATTGCGATCGTAAAAATTTTCGGATCTCAGTTTTCAACAGAAATACATGTTTTGAGGTCTCCTCAGTCCAAATAACCAAGTGTCGCAAAATGGACTGTGTGTAGGCGTTAACAGTCTAGGTCATAAACGAAGAGTAGTACGAAACTGATATTAAGTGTTTAAAGTTTGTATATGGACCGGATGTGACAGCAACTTTTTCGTTAAAATCGTCTAACCAGAAGTGCCACTTTATATGAACACTGAAACACATTTTTACAATTTTCTCAAAAACAGCTTTAACGATTTTGATCAAACTTGTATAATTAAGTAATTAATCATGTATATTAACAATGTATAATCATTGTATAATTAAGTGGTTTTTAATATCATTTAGGTCTTATTCCCGTTGATGTAACTTTACAGGGCTTAAATGCCCATTGTTCATATATGTCTTCCTCTAAGGTACCTTTAATATGGTTTATTTTTAAAAGTTAATCATTTCTCATAATTCAGAGTTACAAAAAAATACTACATATAACTTTTGAAAGAATTTGATGAGTTAATAAAGGAGAAAAAAAAATGCAGAAAAACCTGCGTTGCTATACGAATGAACCGATTTCAATGAAACTTCGCTAAAGTAATTTTCTCGACACCCTTTAAATGTATCTAAATAACATACTTCAACGGAAAGAAGCTGGAAAAAAAGTTACGAGGTATGGTCAAATTAAATTCCGAATGACTCAAAAAGTATACACTTTTTTGGGGATATTGTATATGGTTTTTAAAAGTTCATGGAATTTCCTAAAAAAAACAAAAACAAAAAAAAATGCGTTAAAATCGGACAATTAGGAGGAAAGATATGGTCTCTAGTTTTATCCCCTGAAGAGGCGAAAATATGTATAAATTTAAAATATACTCTTTTTTCTACAGATATCTAATAAATTATCTCATCTCAGAACATCTTTCATAAGAAATAAGTATCTAAATTTATATTTTTATTCTCAGTTCTATATTTCAACACTACAATCACCACCTCCGGAATCAACTTACTCACTGTCTGCATAGATAACTTTTTCAACTAAAAATATTACTAAATTAACATTACTCAAAAATGTTGAAATTGGAGTTAGTCATTCTGTGGTTTATAAAAGCAAAGAAAAGTGTGTGGTTTATAAAAGCAGATGGAGTGACTAGATTTTTATTGCCTACCATCGATATATTAAATAGACATTTTGTAATTATAATGGTCTTAATGACTTGTTATCTGTAAGCTTTAGCTCCGTTTAAAATATTTATGACGCAGCAAGTTATTGTATAAATATCTGCATAGTTTTTGACGAAAATCATAATGCTTGTGAGACCTGGGGACACTGACCCAGGATTTATCTTTATATTTTTATTTTGTTTTGCTTTTATTTTTATTGTTTAGTCTTAGTTTTTGTTTCTTTTATGGTGAAGGTAGCACAATGTTAAGGTAAATTGAATTGTGAATAAGAAAATTCTGTAAGTAAAAGAAAAAAAAAAAATCATGTATTTTCTGCCAAATAAAGAAATAACAATTTATTGCCTACCGTCGATATATTAAATAGACATTTTGTAATTATAATGGTCTTAATGACTTGTTATCTGTAAGCTTTAGCTCCATTTAAAATGCACTTAAAATTTTATAATAGCCCAGCATTGCCAGAAAATAATTTCTATTCAAAGAAGAGCGGTAAGTGAAAGTTATGTGTTGCGCGCACCAGATTTTTTCATTTCGAAACTGATCTCTTCTTCGGAAATACTTCATCTCTGCAGTTTGAATTTTAATTCAGTGGGACGAGACCAAGATTTCACTTGCTTTCTTTCTTTTTTAAAATAAATATGCTTTTGTGTTTAATCAAAGGTATGTTTTATTTTCCAATTTTCTTCCAAATTGTTGTATTAATTTTGTTTACACCACAGCGTTAACTTATTTTATTTATACAGTTAAAAAACGGCACAGCGTTGATTCAATTTATTCTACACTTAACTAATTTGATTAATTGTTGATTTGTTTTATTTTAGCAAAGTAAAATCAATTAATAATATGTATATTTATGTATAAGATGTGTGAATATTAAGTATTATAGGCCCATAGCTTATATTTTTTATATTAAATAAATCAATAGTCTATACTTGGACTACTTTGTTATGGATTGTAGTAGCCCTAGCTATAAACATATAAAAGTGCTATATAAAATTTATATATTTTATAAATATATAAAAGTGCTAGGTTCAAGTCATAAGGCGGTAGAATTGACAATAGACAGTCTGACTCGGTCCACCACTGAGCTGAGTACTGCCAACTTCAACACTGCCCACTGCAGTTCTACTCTGAAGAGACGTACTTCTCTCGTCGTGCTCGGAGCACGCTCATTGAAGAGTTACAATTGGTTTCTGCAGAGAGACAGAGGTTTACAAACGTCCTGCTACGTCCATGTAACGTTGTACATTCTAATTATTTGTTATATATATATATATATATATATAAATTTCATATTGGGACTTTAGAAAAGTTGTTTTTTTTTTATTATAAGTTGGGCCATAGAAATAGTTTTTATTTATGATCAAGCATGAAAATGTTTCATTAATATTGTCACAATTGTTTGTTCAGCTGGTCTTTATTTTTTTATTTTATTTTTTTATTTCTTTATGACATTTACAACTGTATTACATAAATACATCAAGTAAATTTGGACATAATTGATATAATGACATGAATACACTTGCTGAGTAACTACCCAATGGTAGCACTCTAATGATATGACTACATTAGGAGATCACGGGGCCATCTTCTTTTCAGACGCCTCGGAGGGTTATCAGGAATTGAAGAGGAAGCAAGGTTAGAAACGAGAGGGTTAGGATGATTCTGAAGTTTATTAAGGAAGGATAGGTATCTGGATTGGGCCAGATCTGAAACATAAGAAACATTAAGATCTTTGTTTACTTTATTAGTGACAAAGTAAGGAGCATTGAGGATTTTATGAAGGATTTTGGATTGTAAGGATTGGATGCGAGAGGAATTCGATGGTTTAGTGGAGCCCCATAGCTCAACTCCGTAAGTCCAAATAGTCAAGTATATAAGTCTTTTGTAATTAATGGGAAGTTTAGAGCGTTTGTCTAGTAAGTGCTCAAGTAATCGGAAACGTCGAGCGGTTTCTTGTCGTTTCAGTCTAATATGAGGATTCCAAGTTAGTCGTTTGTCCAGGTGGAGTAATAGGTATCGGATTTGCTCAACAGGGATAAGTGGAGTATTGTTAAAGGAAACTGTAGGACAGGAAGTCGTTGGTTTACGACGAAGGGTAAAGGTAATTTGGTGGGATTTATTGGAGTTTATTTTAATTCTCCAGTTTTGACACCATTCTTCTAGATTTATGATGTGTGATTGAAGCATTTGGGATGCAATTGCTGGGTCATTGTTTACTGATAGGATACATGTGTCATCGGCATATGTGGTGATAACAGTGTTGGGACAGGTAGGGATGTCAGCTGTATAAACTGTATAGAGGATAGGACCTAGGATACTACCTTGAGGAACACCAGCAGACTGGGAAAAAAGGGATGAATAGGCGTTATTGTGATTTACTTTAAAGTATCTATCAGTAAGGTAGGAACGGATAATGAGGAAGTATGTAGTTGGTAGAAATTTTCGGAGTTTGTACAGCAGTCCTGGCTGCTAGACTCTATCAAACGCCTGTTCAACGTCGAGAAAGACTCCCGTACAGTACATTCCGCGCTCCAATGCAGAGGAGACTACGTCTACCACACGATGACATTGCTGCATAGTTGAATGGGAAGTTCGGAAACCAAATTGGTGATCTGGGATTATGTGTTTAGAATTTAGGATAGGGTACAGGCGTTTTAAGATGAGTTTTTCTAGGATTTTGCCCATGATGGGTAAAAGAGAGATAGGACGGTAAGAGGATGGGTATTCTGGTGGTTTTTTGGGTTTGGTCTTTATTTTACGCTAGAAGTTTGTTATTTTTTTACCTATCTAACAAGTGTAACATTGATTCATTTTGTTTTTATGTTTTCAATATTAGATTTCGTAAATGTTCCAAAATAAATGTTTGAAGATACAGTCCACTTCATTTCTTTCTCATTTTTCTTTTACTAAATTACAATTAAATAGTTAGGCTTCATTCGAAGTTTGACATAAACTAAGAGGGAGCTAACAAATTTAATTATTGTATTTTATTTAATTAATTATTGTATGGGAAATCATTTTATTGAAGTGATATACATAATCATTAAAATAGTAGGTGAGAGTTATGAGATATGAACGCCGCACCAGTTTAATTTTCCAAAAATTGGTTTAAATAGAGAAACGCCATTTTAACACCAAACGATGCAATTATTATCTGATATCATTTAGTCATTGTCAAAAAATCATTGATCAATGTCACGATTAATGGAAAGATAATGGGCCCATTAATAACTACAGAGCGTTTATAACGATAGAATTAAGTGTCAGCTTAATAACAGTTATCTTTCCATCAAAGAATATTCCTTGTCTTCGTTTTATAGGAAAAGGAAGTGTTCAAATTGTAACAACCGGAATGAAAAGCATTACTTTTTCTTCTACTGTTCTTCCCGAATTGCGATGAATTTGCTCGTAGTAAACTGCATAGGCTGCATCGACACGTTACAGGAAATATGCCGTGTCCCGTCGTACACGGCTGTGTTCCCCTTCCGCTTCAAAGAAGATAGGGTTTTCCTTTGCAGATGGCGTCTCTTCTTCAGCATCATAGCCTTCGCAATATTGACCTATCAAGCAGGCATGCTTATAATAAGACCGAGCAATTCCCACATAGCATCGCCTCTGATATACCTCGCCTACTGTGTCGAACAGATGAGCGTCAAGATAGCACTCTTCATCGGCCTCTTCTGTACGACATGGTACCATCGCTCTTGGAAGCAGATGGTACTTTATCTCCATCAGGTTGAGCGGACACTTCGGGAAAACGGAGTGCTATGGACTTACCGGATCATCTATCCTGTGGATGCCATCTATATCGTCTTTATAATAACCGTCATGTTCCAACACGCCATTATCAGATCCAAAACGTGGTACACCTTCTCTAAAGTAATAACATATTACTCTTCGATGTTGATGCTTTTCATCGTCACAGTCCAATTCAAGCGTTTGGTCATCTTCATCTGTTCAGGATTCAAATTGATTCAGAACGTCCTGTGTAATACCGCAGTGAGTAAGAACAGCTTTCAGAAGAGTAGGCAATTAGAGAAACTGATCACACTGTACCAGTTGCTTTACAGAGCTTCCATTTTATTGAATAAAATATATTCTCCACAGATCCTCTTAATCCTTTTCACCAGTTTTCTCATCTCGACCGCGAACATCTACTTTGTCTACGAATCGCTTGGAAGGAATGCCAACTACAATTTTTCAGAGAATATCATAAAATTCTCATGGTTGATCTCGTATTCATCATTCTCAGTGATAATCGTACACCCCTGTACTATAATTAATAAACAGGTATGTATTTTATTACTTATATTATTTGAACTGAATTTATCTATCTATCTATTTATCTATCAATCTTAAAAAACTTTTGATTTAAGTAACTAAACATTGCTCCATAATAAACAAGGAAAAATTTACTTTAAACGAAATTAGAGTTTGTCATTATTAAGTTCCGTTTAAAAAATAGTCTTAAGTTATTTGTGATTTTTTATAACTCTTTACCTGTACTACATTTACCCCACTTAAAAAAAATCTAGTTATAGTTGGGATGCTCAGTCAAAAAGGAAGGCAAAAAAATAAATTATAATATTTATTTTTTACATATGCCGACGTTTCGACCTGAATTTCAGGCCTTCATCAGGGCTAAGAAAATAACCAGATAACAAGGTATGAGAAACATAAGTAATGATGGTAAAAAAGATAATAAAAAATGAGAAAATAAAATAAATAAAAAATTATTAGAAAAATAAAATAGATAGATATAAAGTAAAATGAAATTGTAAGAATAATGACTAAGAACTAAGAGATAAATAATAAAAACAGTTACATAGTGTGGAATGATGAATTATTTATCAGAGAAAAATTTTGGGATTCACCTCAAGTTATGTAAAGAAGTGATGTGATTTCCTATCCAGTCTGTGTTGTATGCAAAAATTACTGCAATCAACTGTTACAAAGGTTTTATTTGTTTTTCCGTTATATGAGATGTATTCTAATGAACATAATTGTCTTAAATAGCATTTTATTTACGAATATTAAAAAAATTAACACTACATTATTTTTTCACCAAAGTCTACCTTTTGTCTAGCTTTGAGCCAAATCGAACGAGCCGTTTCTGAAATATTGGCATATCTAAAGAAATACGTTTGCGCGTGCGTAAGCGGAAGTACTGGTTAGAATTTAATAATAATAATAATAATTGATATAGGATCATCTAGGCACCAATCCGCATTATCTCTGAAAATTTCATGAAAATCGGAATAACGGCAGTAGGTGATATGCTCGTTACACCGATTTGACTACAGACAGACACCCAACGAAATTTGATCCTTGATGTCTGAAAAGTAAAACGCGAGTGAAAATTTTCGATTTTGAGCACAAAATTTTTTTAAATCTTTCTCACGAACTCAATGCTTTCCTATATTCGGTAGTGAGGAAGCAAAAAATTAAAATAATGTTTTTTTTTTATTTTTCATGTAAAGTGGTTATGAAGCAGTGTTTTCTCAGATCTTCTTCATGTTATGTAAAGGTGACAAACTTTTTTTTTATCTCCAATATTTACGTTTAAAATAAATAAATCTACTGATAAATTATATGATGAAATTATTTACGAATGATACATTATTTTCATGAAAACGTAAATATTAATCATTCTTTCATGATTAGTAAAGTTATCGCTTACTATTAAAAAAAAAAGTGACTCACTTAAAAAAATACAAATCTTAAATTTTCTATTTTTCTGCTGGAAATCGCGGAATTGTTTTTATGAACTTTTTTGTAGATCCTTGATGCCTACTTACAGCCTTTTAAATATTTCCTTTTACTTATGGTACACTCTGAATAATATAGTGGTCATAATTTTTGGCCTTGTTTTGAAATCGATACTACGAAATACAATAAAAATTATTGAAACTAAATCAATATACAATATCTAAACAAAATATAAACAGCACAATCAAAAAATTTACGAAAAATTGTTAACGCACCTTGGTACATTTCAAACACTACTATACATAACGACTTAAACACCCCAACAGTAAAATCCTACATCCACTACAAATACACTACATTTCATTCTTCAACCCAAAATCACTCCAATCCTCTGGTTCTTTCTATCTCCTGCTCCCTGTTACCTGAGCAACGAAGATTAAGAAGAAAATGGCCAAGAGACCTACTACATCAATAAAAACATCAACATAAAAAAAAAATCAAGCAATTACACCAAGACAATAAAAACACAACAAATTTGCTAGATGCGCAGGTGCAAATTGCATAAAGTAACAAAAATAAAAAAAATCTATATAAATAAAATAAAGGTTTTGTCTGTACATTGAATAGAATCTTAGGATATCTTTCCATTTCATACATTGCAGACACCAAATCCACTTTTAATTTTTTTTTTTTTGTCTGTATGTCCGCATTGCAACGAAATTTTGTCAGGAGTAAGCTCAGCAATGGCTTATTGTAGACCTTTGAATTTTTTACAATATATTAAGGTTTACTTGACTTAAAACGTAGGCTTTAAATGAAAACAAAATATTGAGTAGACCCAGAATTATGAATTCTTGAATAATTTGTCTAGAGATCTCGGTTAGGCAGTTACTTACTTCGATTCTCATCCCAACCTACTCTATCGCGAGCCACATTTAAAAGTTGTACTGCTGAACTGATGGAAAAAATTATCACAACTCAACGGGAAAAAATCCGGAATACCGATCATCTTTAACGCGTTGTCGCATAAAACTGTTAAAACACACTCATTTTTCAACTTTGTCCGATTTTCCCGATTAAGGTGTCATTCAATTCAACTTCCGAGCCTAACAAATTTTTTGGTATATATTTTTAGGATTAACCAAACGGATTAGCCGGAAATCAGAAAAGGAAACTCCCAAAAATTTCATCCCGCCCGCTACAATATTCAGATCAAGTTCTAATTTTACACGGATGTAGGTGATTCAATGCCCAATTTTATTTTGGTTATTTTGCCAGCGATAAATTCAACACAGTTGAAGAAGTGGAGAGACTGCAACTCTTATTGATTAATTAACCAACTCCACAATCTCCTCACTTTATCATATATGAAAATTAAACACTTAACAAATTTTAATGATTTGGTGGTGGTCGATTTAGTTGTGTAGTACCTGAACAAATAGCCGAATAAAAAAGTTTTTGTTATGACTGTTGCGACACCTTGACTTCCATAAGCCCCGCCATAAAAAATTTCAAAACAACCTCCCTCCTCTCTCCCAACCCAATTTTATGAAATTGAATTTGGACCCTACCCTCCCTCCATAATACAAAATCCATCTCAAAAAAAAAGATTCTTAAATTTTAACTATACACCCGCCAACGAAAGGCACATCAGCTAGTTTATTATAAAACAACGCTTATTTATTTTATTTTATTGACAGGCTAATATTTCAATATCACCATTACGCTAGGCCGAGTTCAGCAATTAATTGTTCGACAAACCGTCTATGATTGAAGAGGCAACCCAACATTAAAACAATTAGTCGATAATTACAACCTACGCTTTCATCAAAAATAATAAACGAAGTAACAGAATATGAAGAAACAGAATCATAAAGGCAATGGATGAAGTTAGAGATAAATTCAACTCGATGGCACGAAGAATCCACTTCTTCCCTTCCGTGATGGCCGCATTTCCGCTCTACGTCAGCGACGGAAGCTACGAGATCAGCTACCTTCTTCTTTTCCTGTCGCTCCTCGCCAAAGCGGCCTTCAGCTACGAGGCCTTGCTTCACCTCGTCGATCCTCCATTTATAACCAAAGGCATGTCGAGGTTCTACAAGTTCTTCACGATCGCCAACTTCGAATACAACTATGGCGTTTCATGCTTCTCCTTCGCCAAGATATTCTTTACCAGAAAAGAGATGAATGATATCTTCGACCTTATGCGGAAGTCAGACTTGATGCTGGGCAGTCTTGCAGAGCCGCCTGATTTCAGGACCCAAATAATCCAAGATGGCCTGATCCTCATCATGATGGCCTTGCCGACTACGATAAGATTCTTCAATTTGAGCTTGTGGACTTTCGCTAACGCGGCCGAGCAGGTCTATTTAACTTGGGTGAACTTTACCATCTACCTCTCCATTGCTCCGTTTCTTCAACTAGCCTTTATCTTAAAGAACCGTTTCAATTTATTGCACCGCTGCCTCTTGAATTTTGCAGCGAGAAAGCAACAAACCAAGATTGAACAGCTGATCATCTTTCACACGAATTATTGCGACGTCAGTGCTATGCTTAACGATTGTTTCTCTCAACAGATACTTTTGATGTTCACAGTAACATTCATGAGTATAGTTCTTGGTTCCTATAGATCAATAACCGCTTACGTTGTGGGTTCGGGAGCATTTGTGACAGTGCTTAAAGCATTAGTCTGCTCCCAATATATCATTTTGACAGTGATCATCGCGATAATTTGTGAATCAACATCATCCGAGGTAAGTTTTTTATTTTGTGTTGTTCCCCATCTCTCCTTTTAGGCTATACGGGGTATTCGCGGATGAGGGCGGGGAATTTAAAATTCCCTCCGGCACCGGAACGCGAATTCATATCTTTTAATCTTCCATAACTTCGGTTATCTGGTCACCCACCGGTCAACTCTCGGTGCTGGAGGTCGTGGTTGCCAAGTGTGTTGGAGCGTTGTCCGGTACACTGTTTACATTTAACTTATATATTCTCCTTTATTTTCTATTTTTATTCATACTTATTTTCCATTTGTTTGTATCATCTACATATATAATACTTGATATTTTAACTACATTGTCACCCACTATATCTCTGACATCATCTTTTTATTTCTGTATCAAACAACTTCTTCTTATATTCATTTATTTCATTTTTACCATGTTTTGTATCTTTTGTAGCCCTGCAAAGTGGGTCAAAACGTCGGTAAAAATTAAATAATTACTATCTGTTTAATTTAGTATTTATTTGACCGCACCCCCCGATTAACTCCTTCTCTTATCAGCAAATTTGGGATATGCATTAATACCTTCCCGTATTTCAAAACCGTAACAATTTAAATAAAAAAAGATCTGGTTAATGGTTATGTTAAATAGGCCGATGGAATCCATATCTACAGATAGGTCATTAAAAGGATAGTGAAACTGTCCTACAAATCCCGAATCTATCAGCTGTTCATCGGCCTATATACTTGTTTTGATGGTAAATTTATTCGTGTAACTATTTTTTATTTAATTGTTACACCAATACTTAACGTATTGCATTTGGACCAAATTATCTGTGTATTTATTAAATCATAAATATTTTATTTTATATTTCAGGCGAAAGAGTTTAATGCGTTGTTGTACCAGATAATGATAGACGATAAGACTAATGACATCGCAACGAATGTAAGTTATTTATTCAATTAATATGTGGTAAAAATAATATAAAATAATCATGATTACTGGCAATTAAAGATTACTAATGCTCCTCAGCTCAAAATAAAGTATCTCTTTGTTTTCTATCAAACGAAATAGTTTTTTTGGTGTGTTTCAGAAAAAGCTGCAACTCCACATCGCCATGAAGAGAGAGGTCCAATTCACAGCCTGCGGTTTCTTCCCTCTTGATTATACTCTGGTCCACTCGGTAAGTCCTTAAATATAAGAAAATGTCGTGGTGTAGAAGAATTACGGAACTCGCCGACTGTATCAGGAAATATTCGGAAACGACGGATAATAAAACAGGAAATTTGTTCTCGCATGTCCAAGAGGTCCCCAACCGTTGCTCACAAAATGATTGTGCATAGGAAATTTCGCCCCTTGTGTAATATCGTTTTGCCCCCCCCCCTCCTCCAATAATTTGAAATAATTAAAATTAACAATGAAGATACAAGAATGAATTAAATATGTAAATTAAATCGATTAGCTGGGGAAAAAAGCTCGCTTGGCTAAGGTATATAAGTAGATAAGTAACTATTTTATTACGACCTAAATATTCTTATTATTTAAAGTTTCATTTATATTCAAGCTTGACTATATAGAAACATTTTCTAGGATTTTATGATCCATTCACTCCGTTGTACAACTCCGTTTCCACGTGATTTTCATATAAAGTTAGAAAAATATATTTAATAAGTATAAGAATAAATATATTTTATATAGAATATTTTTATATAACTAGTTAGACTGTGAAAATAATTTACTTTTATTTTATGGCTGTGCAAACTAAGAAATAAAATATATTTTTCTATTTTTTTTTTAATTATTCATTACAAGGTAGAAAAGTTATAGAAATGTACCTATATTATGAAAGATGTCCCGTTTCCTTCCATGTGTAATGTATACAAATTGTAATAAAACCAATTGTTTTGTTCACATATTTTCAAGTATATCGATATGTACATAAACAAATTCTACAACTCCCAAACAAATATATATATATATATATATATTATATATATATATATATATATATATATATATATATATATATAAATATTCAATATTGTATTGGTTTGGTTCACAATAACTATGTTAATATTTACACATAATAATTACTGCACTTTTTTTTTTCTCTTTACGATAATGCAGAATGTAGAATGCTCTCACGTAATCAATAGAAGCTATGTGATGATTATCTATTGATTCTTTTGATAAGGATTAGTCACTAATTGTAGACAGTATTTAGTTTATTACTAAACCACAATTTATCGTATTCACTGATTTATTTAAATTAATCATTTATAGTCCTTGGTACAGACCCTTTTTTATAAAATTATTAACATGCGCCAGAAACTTTGTCTATTTAAATAGATAGCAAAAACTCGTAAATAACCAGTTTTTTTCCACTTGGATCGTAAGATGATTCAATAAAAAAGGTTGCCTATAAAAATCTTCGACCGTTTGTCCTATAAAACCTCGTTATTTTGACAATTCGTGGTTTTATTTCACAATATACAATTTAATATTTGTGAGGGCCACTTTTTTTCTCCTTTTTGTGCTGAAATTATCTTACGATTCAGGTGGAAAACATATGGGTATTTACGAGTTTTTAGTACCTAATTAAAAAAACAAAGTTTGACAATCTCCAGATTGAAAACGCACTAATTCCGAGAATTTTCGTAAATAAAATATTTGTAGGCTACGATGAGATAAAGCAATTTACAAAATTTCAGGAGAATGTTAATAATTTGATGAAAAGGTGTTTGTACCGCTGAATATAACATTATTTTCTGCAATATCAATAAACAAAATATGTACAGATAAATCATATGATCTAGTTCGCGTTTTGTAGCTTTTAGGGAATCTGTGTTAATTAATTGTACTTTTATGGTGCTGAATAATCATATGCATGACTAATAACAACATGGAAGATATTTTGAATATTTTTTATTGTACTTGTAACCCACTCAACTCATGTGCTTTTCACCACAGTTGCTAAATTTCTTTTAAGATAACATTTTCATTATCATCCATAACCTGTACGATATCATTTTAGCCCTAACTGAGCTGAGATACACGAGAGCACTATTGATGAAAACCATTAAAAATCAAGATTGTATCATAACGGGACGGCGTGTTAGGGAGGCGAAAATGAAAAAAATATTGTCGAAAACCAAATGATAACGAGTTTAGTTGAATATATCGATTAAAATATTTCAGATACTAAAAATCGGACCTGTATACTGAAAGCGAGGGAAATGTTAAGCGTTTTATCTTCTTTGTAAAGAGCTATTATTCAATTCATTAGGGACATTTTTTAATTTACTTTGCTTTGATGTCTATATTTTATATAATAAACTTTGTTACTAACTTTAACATTTTCTTATTAAACTAAATTAAACTAATAGTCCGTGGTACAGACCCCTTTTTCTCGAATTATTAACATCCGCCTGACTTTGTAAATAGTTTCGTCACATAGTAACCTACAACTATTTTATTTACGAAAACTCTTGGGATTGGGGCGTTTTCAATCTATTTTCAATTTTTTAAAAAAGGGGAAGCTAATAAAAACTCGTAAATATCAATTTGCTTTCTACTTGGATCGTAAGATAATTTGGTCGCATATAGGCCATTTGTCTATATAACCTCCTTAATTTTAAAATTTTGGGATGTAGGTCACGCTAAAGGGTTCAATATTTTTGAAGGCCGCCTTTTTTCTCGATTTTGTGATCAAAGTATCTTATGATGCAAGTAGAAAGCACGGGTTTTGAATTGGATAATAGCTCATTGTATTATTCAATTCGTTTGGGACATTTTTAGATTGACCTTGCTTTGATTCTATATTTTATTCAGTAGAACTTTGTTATTAACTTTAAAATTTTCTTATTAAACGTAATTACCCCGAACTACAATACACCTAGAATACATGGATTAGTAAAGTTATACAGAAGTGGACCTCCACTTAGTCCTATCCAATGTAAATTATCAATTAGCTGAAAATGATCACTTTTCTTATTTTATATTTATTATAAAATTTTATGTGCAGATGATAGCAGCTGCTACGACCTACCTTGTGATCTTGATACAGTTTGGACAGTCGACAACTTCAGTCACAACTTTACCCAACGCTAGTTTCGCCAACACTTCCAGTATATTCACCGAAACTACTTCCCCAACTACACTTTCTACAACTCCAATGTAAGCTTTGGAAGGAATTGACATTAATGCAGAATTTCTTATTCCAAATTGATTTATCTTAAGAAAAGTAATGGTTATGCCTCCACTTGATTGGTGTGATCTTTTATAAATTAGTACAATACGAGTAGAGTAAGTCGTCGACTTCAATATTAGCAACCATATTTGTCGTTTAAGCAGGGTTTCAAGATATATATATATATATATATATATATATCAGTGTAATGTATATATATGTGTTAAAAAAAAGGTTCAACATAAATAGGTTTATTATTTTTCATTTAATTATTATTGTTATACATTAATTTATTTAAAATAAGGAGATTAATTATTACATGTTTTAAATCCCAAATACACTAATTATCATAAACAAATCCAATTACTTATTGATGAGATATTGTTGAACTAGATCATGAAGTGAAATAAATATAGTTTAATATAAAAAATAAATAAATAGTCTAATGTGAAATAGGAAAATATTGCAATGATAAATGTAAAAATTATAGTTAATAAATATGAGTCAAACTTGGATTGTTTTATTTACTTTTATCCTTTCTTAATGTTCATAAAATCCATATTTAATTTAAGATTAAAGACAGGAACCGACGATGCGGCCAACTATTCATACTACTAAATAGAAAATCTAAACTCTCTATTGAAAATAAAATACTGATTTACAAGACAATACTAAAACCTACTTGGGCTTACGGACTTGAACTGTGGGGCAGCAAAATTTTCTAACATCAAACGCATCCAATACTTCCAATCCAAAGTCCTGCGAACAATAGTGGATGCTCCTTTTTGTGTAACCAACAAAACCCTACACCATGCCCTTAATATCCCATTTATATTAGACCTTATGCCAGCAAAATTTCACCAGAACCTTACCCATCATCCAAATCCCTTTGTACAATCCCTATTCAGCACCACCCATCCCTATAATCCTCTAAGAAGGTTAAAACGGCATTGGGCACGCGACCTTTTATAGTTGTAAATATTAAAGTTCTTGCAATGGCCAGATTCTCCACTCACGACATGAGTGTATGTGGCTAAAGCACTCTTGCTCAATCTCCACTGGGTTTAGTCCCAGTGACGCGGTTGAGAGAGAAATGCAGCGGTCTCCTGAAGTCATACTTTTCCCTCCACAGTTGTAGGGGCAAGTCTGGTTTGGATTTCTCTCGCCATATTGTAAATATTGTACATAGGTATGTATGTGTTCTTTTTATTTATTTGTTTTTAGGTCGTTTTGTGAGAACTATTATAAATGCCCTTGAGACAGATTGTAATATTTTTCAATAAATAAGTTTTTAAAAAAAATTAAGATTAATTTTTTTTTTATTATTAAAACAGTTTATTCAGAAATATTACAATTTGTCACAGTTTAAGGACATTTATAATAGAGTTCAGAGATTGCATTCATACCGTATATACAAAAATATAAATAAATAAAGTAATAACAAAAGAATAAGAAAAAAGAACAAAAGAGTAAAGAAAAAAAAATATATATATATACATAAGTAAATAAAAATAGAAATAAAAGTAAAACAAACCCCTTATATAAAACATACCTATATACATTATTTACAATTTGCCAGGTGATCTCCGAACCAATCCTGTCCCCTCCACATGTGGAGGGAAAAGGGAGGCTTAGGAGATCCCTACGCTTCTCCCTCAGCCACTTCACTGGTAAAGATTAAATTAAAAATAAGAAAATACTGATTGAAGATCTTTAATAAATACATACAAATACTCCAACTTTCACAATGGACTGGTCAAATAACGCTTTCAAAGTGCATGTAGAGTTCAAATATAAAATATTTGACCATTTTATAGTTAACTAATTTTTCAATCTTAATAAAGATGATCATAGAAGAATGCAGTCTCTCCAGGGATTGACAATTTTTTGAAATGTATATTATATACTGATGCATATAGGGAATATATTGCTAAGTTTTGGGGTGTTTAAATTTATTCGAGATGCCACTGAATAATTATTGATGATAATTATCC